AAAAAGAAAAAAGGATAAAACTAGTACCAACATGAACTTATAAGCTTAATCTAATCCCATCTCATCTAACAGAGATTACAGAATAAGTAATCAAAGCAGGTCTCTGTGCAGTCATAAAAGCAGGAACAACTGCACTCACAAAACAAAATCCAAAAAAAATTATATAAAACAGTAAATCCAATTACAAATTTACAGAAGAAAACAATATAAAAGAAGAAATTAATTAATTGAATTATTACCAGTCATTGATGACTTTGTCCTGCTCATCTTCTCCTGCCTGAAAATTGTTGCTGGAAGTCTCTATGGCTTGTGCTGGTGGAGGTTCCATCTGTGTCTCTCTGAGCACTCTCTGGAGAGCTGCGGAGGAGAAGAGGATATAAATGTTCAAAATGGGTTCAAGTTTCAACCCCGTCAGAGCACTTTGTCATGGCTGCTTAAAAAAATAAATATGATTTATATGATGGTGCCAAAAAGGATTCGTCTTTTTCAGGAATTTTGGCAATAAATATTTCTTTCTTTATTTTGATTTTGACCATATGAGAGAGAGAGAGAGTCATCCAAATTTCAAAGGGCACCACTAGATAGAAAATGGTAAAAAGAAGGAGAAAATTAATGGTTTTTGGAGACTTGGAGTGGACCACTAATGGAAAATGTCAAATTGAGTTGATAGGGACTTTTTATCTGTGAAATTAAAGGTTGCTAATTGATATATTTACCATTGAAAATTCCTTTTGGAGACTTTCCACTCATAAGTGATTCTATGAATTATTATTATTTTTAGTATCGTAATTTAAGTGATTAAGAGTATTTATTCATGTATTCGAGGTCATAAGCTCGATTCTCTCTCCTTCATAATCATTATTCTTAGAAATGCTTTAATTGAAAGCATTTTAATTAGATACATAATAAATTTGTTATTAAAAATCAAATGTTTCCGAAAAATGAGCTTAATAAAAAGTGCCTCTATGTCACTAAAATCACTTTTGATAATCTGGAAAACATTTTCAACCCTTCAAAAATCCTGCCAAACAGGCTCGAAAATTAGACTTGTTAAAAGACAAACTTCTACTAGAAAAGTTGTCTTAAAATTTTTTCTTTATATTTTTGGGAATTTGAAAACGAATGTTTTCTCACACATTTTTGTCTTATATGCACGGGGGTTCCAATACAATTCCTCCTGGTATAAATGTAA